TATAATTTTAACGCGAAATTATTGTTTTAATGACTTTGATAAAATTGAAGTTATAATTAAAATCGAAATGCAGTACAATATTATTTGCCGTACAAACAAGTTTAGAAACTACATTACGTATAATTTGAACATTAATGGTATGGAAGTTCCGCACATATGCTTGTCTCTCAATTAAGGATTGTGTCGATAATCAAGAAACTTTGTTATGACGTAGCGCGATCCGACGAGGGAAAGGAAGATCACTATCCCGTCTCGTATAATAATCATGATCCGGAAAATTGGAATAATGGATTGTGTCCAGATGAGTGTCCCAGTTTTTTTATTGATATTTCTAGAAATGCAGTAAGGTATGTTTTTCTAACAGTAAATAATATTCACGTTACAATTACATTTCTTTGTAAAAGTAAAGAAAAAGCATACAATAAATCGGTTTTAAGAGATGTTATATTTACATAAAAGTTTTCATCCATTTTCGAATATGTATATTATTATATATTAAATTTGTATTTATTAATATATAAAAATTTATATTTATTAATATGTAAAAATAATAGAATATTTAAAATACATCTAAATTATAATAACAAACAAAAAGAATGTGCGTTTTATTATGGAATAATAGTATTTTGTATTACATTCTAACAAGTGTAATACGTCACGATAAGTTAATACATCACGATAAAATTGATCGCAATTCGACGAATCATTCGAGAATTCGATATTAAAATGAAGGAAATCTCATATCCGTTTGTGGAACATTTATCTTTCCGTCCTCAAACGAATAAACAAATATTCAAACAAATATTCAACGTTTTAGTTTTAAAGACAGCGATAGTAAATTTTTTAAAACTGGGATGTTTTTACGAGGTTACGCGAATTAATACGAGGAACATTAACTTTTCCAAGATTCACGTGTTTTTCTCGTAAAAAAGGAATTCTCATTACGTATTAAAGAGAGTTCAATGCGAGACACTCGTCTTTCATTCGCGGTAACTTTTATCTACGCTATACTCGAGTGGCCCAATGAAATCTTTCCCCTAATACGGAGCTGAGGAGGAGCTTTATCTCTTCCTTTAAAGTTCAAAACTTCGTCTGCGGTGGCAATTCCAAAATTTCCTCTTTAAGCTGGATGGAGCGAACGTAAGCGCACCCGTATCGATCGATAGTCTCTCTCTCTCTCATGCTTCTTTCTCTGTCGCTTTCTCTCTCTCTCTCTCTTCCGCCTCTCCTCCTCTCTCT